GGTCAAAAAAAAAAAAGCGCACAGTCTGTCGCAGGCCGCCTCCCCTCGCTCTTCCTTCAATTTCAGTATTTCCGGGGGGACTAGTTGGAGACTCGTCAGCACGTCTTTCCCACCGCCAACAAACTTACCCCAAAAAAAAAAAAAAAAAAAAGCGGTCGTACACGTACACTGCAGCGTAATGCTCGGTCAGCCTGACCCCCTGCGCGATGCGCTGGAAGAACGGGATCGAGTAGCGCGGCGGCGCGGCGGCGGGCGGGCTGCGCACGCGGTGCGGCGTCGCGCGCGCGAGGCCCCGCGTCGCGGCCTCGAGCCCCGCCCGATGTTCACGACGAACGTGTCGCGCACGGGCGGCGCGGCGACCCACGCGCCCGCGCGGTTCTGCACCTGCAGCCCCGCGCCGCGCGGCGACGCCTGCAGCAGCAGCGTGAGGAAGCCCGCGTCGAAGTGCGGGCCGACGCCCTGCGCGGACGCGGACGCGCTCCGCCGCGCCCGCCGCGCGCGCGGGGTACTTGACGACCTTCGCGCGGTGCTGGATCGCGGGCGGCCCCGCGAAGAAGGCGGCGAGCCCCGTGCGCGCGAGCCCGAGCGCCTCGGCGATGAGCGCGATGAGCTCGTAGCTGAGCGTCTCGACCTGCTCGAGGTAGCGCAGCATTGTTGCCTTGAAGCCGGGGAGATCGCGCTCCTCTGGCCACTTAATCGCGACGCCGATCGGTCAGCCGATTTCTTCAATCCATTGTCTTTTTGATAGTAAGAAATGGACCATACGCACCTTGGCCTGGTCCGCACAGCCGAAGGTACTCTGGGTCCCCCGGCTTCCACGGACTCTCAAAGTCCGTCGCGAGATCATACTGCTCCCGCTGGTCCGTCGCGCCCTTGGTGAGCTCGGCGCCGAGTCTGCTGTACCCCAGGAAGTGCGGCGAGTTCGCCATGCGGATGGCGTCCTTCTTCTCTTGCGGCAGCTCGAACAGGCGCGGCGCGTACGCGATAAGGTCGTCGATGAGCGCCTTGTCCACCGGCGGGTGCAGGAGGTAGAGGAACCCGACGTTGATCAGCGCGTGCCGCAGCTGCGAGATGAACTCGTCCTTGCGCCCCGTCGAGAGCAGCGTGTAGTCGAGAACGGGGATGCTGGAGAAATTACCTGCCATGGAGTTGAATTGGTACGAATCCGAGGCGCAGTATTGCCAGAGAGTGCAGTAGATGCTCAGTCATAACTCCTTGAGCACGACAGAAAAATGACGCGATCGAACGCAACCATGCTCAGCTTTGTAATACCTGCTTCGTTCTTATGGCACAGTACCTCGCGTGAAACAAAAGGGATAACATCGGTAGTTGTTTTTTGTTGAACTTGAAAGGTGCCACGATTGTGAGCAAGACTATTTGCGTGAGAGACATCATGAGAAGATTTGTGAGCGGCGAGCTGCTTTTTTGAAAAGACACGGCGAGTTACAGAGGACTCTTGTCAGATTTTAAACCGATAAAAATACAAATACATAAAAAGCGCAAGATAAACTCGCGTAGATTGTATTATGCTTGGCGATTGATTACGGACCCGAGATCGGCTAGATCAGCAGGAGCGATGCGATGCATCCGTCTTTTATAGGGTCTGGACGTGCTAATTTAGGATATTTTTCTCTAGAGTTCCTGACTACTTGTCATCTGCATTCCAGTTTTCTGGTCAGTTATGCACATCTCGAGACAGACTTGCTATTCTCCAGGACATGAAAAATCTCAAAAACTGGAGATGTTTTGTAGCCCTTGACGAACTTGGTCCAGGTTTCTGGCAGTTCCTATAGTACCTTGCGTCCGTTTTCGCAACTAGGCACATGGCTTTCATTAGGCCTATCAAGTCCCGCCGCACACTGCGGTCTACGATTGCCGAATATACTCGGACGTCACGGTGCTGTCATTCCAACACGGCTCCCTCTGCTCTCTCCTGCTCTCTCTCCCTTTCACCAAGTCGCTGCTCATGGTCACCCCTCATTTACTGGCTCTGGCAGCAGCCCTTCTGTCTGGTCTACGACATGCATCTGCGTCAGTGACTGTCTATGGTCAACCAGGCTTGCCACCTGCTGCCCAACCAACACCCTGCGTCGGCGCGGTGCCCTGCGACGGAAACGTTCTCCAACCAGTCGGGAGCTACGGCGTTAACATCACGAATGCAATCCCGGTGCAGCTCTACAGCGGTGGCATGGGCGGGCTGTCGATAGGACTCGCCCACTTCTTCGGTTTCTCGCTCGAGCTGTCCGTCGCCAATCATCTCCGTGCGTCCGACGTATTTCGCTATTTATATATCTCTTTAACAAAAATCTATGTTTTTTCCTTGTTCCCCCCTTTTTTTTTCTAGTGGGGAACAACGGCAACGAGATTGACCCGATCTTTCTGAATCTCATGGCTACCGTTATTTCGAGGTCCAAGAACCTCATACTTCGAGTCGGAGGTAACACGCAAGAACAGGCCGTGCTCATTCCCGGAGGTCTCAGTGACGGAGCTATGATTGAGAAAGGACCAATAGGAAGCTCGAGGGTAAGGTTTCCCTGTGAAACCCGGCGTTCTAATTATTCACACATCTATATATCGCAGACGTCTACACCCGCTCTCTACGTATCGCCGTCGCTCATATATGCCATGGCGAACGTGTCCAGTTTTCTTCCGACTGTGCAATGGTTCCTCGGCGCGCCGTTCAACGACACTACGAACCCGCGTATGCAGATGGCAGAGCTAGGCCAGCAAGTTCTCGGCTCCAAGCTCATCGGCCTGCAGCTCGGCAACGAACCGGACCTGTACCACCAGAACCAGCTCCGCGGATCCGACTACAGCCCCACGCAGTACGACGTCGAGTGGGGCCAGGTTCTGCAGGACTATATCAACGACCCGAACATCTCGAACAACTCGATGTTTGCTGCGCCCAGCGTGTGCTGCGGCGGGAATATCGGCTGGACACCCGAGCAAGTTTGGAATACGGGCTTCTTGGACCACTACGCGGACCATCTCGCTTACCTCGCCGTGCAGCAGTGCGTATCTCCCGTCCTAACCTCTAATCCTAAATATTGACACGAGACTCCGGCTCACAGCTACCCGGCAGACAACTGCAACGGCTCGTCGCACGTCAACCCGCAGGACATCCTCCAGCCGATATACCTCAACCACAACGCGATCCAGACGCAGAACGCCGCGTACGTGAACAGCACGGCGATCGCGCAGAGCCTGGGCAAGCCGTTCCTCCTCTTCGAGACGAACACCGCGTCGTGCGGCGGCTTCTCGGGCCTCAGCGACTCCTTCGCTGCGGCGATGTGGGCCGTCGACTACTCGTTCAACATGGCTATGGGGAACGTGTCGCACGCGTTCTTCCACGTCGGTGGCCAGAGCGATTACTATAACGTGAGCTGTTCCCTTCGGGATTTGCGCTATAGACTCCGTGTGGCTGGGCGCTTGGCAGACGGGCAATGAACCTTATGTCCGTTGATCTGCGCGAGCGCCGACCAGAGCGTTTCTCTGTGCTCCCGCCCGCCCGATCATCTTGGGCTTTTCTGAGCGATGTCCAGGCTGTCAGCTTGGTTCCTCGTCCTCCTCACTCAAGGTTTTTTGAGTATTGACTCGGCCTCCTATCTACAGCCCTTCACCCCGCCAGCAACGAACCAGTCGCGCTTCCGGCAGTGGACGGTCGGCTCGACGTTCTACTCCTCGCTCGTCGTCGCGGAGGCGCTCGGCACGTCCGGGCAGGCGCAGATCGTGGACCTCTACCTGAACAACAACGCCGCGCTCACGCCGGGCTACGTCGTCTACGAGGCGGGCACCCCGCAGCGCGTCGTGCTCATGAACTACGTCACCGACTCGTCGGGCGCGAGCAACTACACGGCGTACATCAGCATCGGCGGGAACCAGACGGGCACGCCGGGCGCGACGCCGGCGAGCGTGCAGGTGAAGTGCGTACACATGTTTTCCATTTTGTTCGGGAGGAGCTGGTGCTCAACCTAGCATGTTCTCTGCACAGGTACTTGCTCGCTGACTCGGTCTCCGAGAAGTTTGCCATCACATGGGCCGGACAGGTAGGGAGCCTAATGACATTTCAATAATAACAAATTGACCTGGTAACTTCTGCAGACATTTGGAGGCCCCTTCGAATCCGACGGACGCCTGCAGGGCGCGGAGGTGATCTACACGTACCAGTGCGACCAGACCAACAACGTCTGCGCCGTGCCGATGCCCGCGCCCGCGCTCGCGATCGTGTTCCTCAGCTCCGGCGCGCTGAGCGAGTCCGAGCCGCAGTCGACGGTGACGTTCGCGACCACGACGTCCTATGTACGTCCACGCACTTCACTCACTCATGTGGTTTATTTAAACGCTCACCTTCACCGCCGACAGTCCAACGCAGCGAACACGGCCACGATAAACCAGGCGGTCCTCGCGACGTCGAACGGGCGCGGTGGCGGGAACTGGGACACCGTCGGCTCGACGAGTTTCGGGAGCTCGAACGGCGCGGTGGGCGCGACGGCGATGCTCGCGTCAGCCGTCCTGACCGGCGGAGTCGCTGTTCTCGGAGCGGTGCTCGCAGGCTACGCCGGCTGGCGTTAATAAACTTCTGGGTCTCTCCCTGTCCTTCGTTAACTTTACTTTACCTTTTTTTCTTCTTCGTCTGGGTTTCTTCGTCTGGGATAAAAACAATTCACGGAATGTGGACTTTCGTCTAATTCGCTGGGCTCCGGCTTGATCGCTATGTAGTTTTCTGGTGCTGTAGGGAATGTTGTATACCTGACCCATATACAACTAATTATAAGTAGTCTACTACTAAATACATGTATATTGTCTGCGCAGACATGGATAGCTCATATGAGCGACGACGATCCAGTCACGAAATCCGATTTCGAGACGGATTGGAGACTGGATATGGACGTCAGCCTTCTAGCTTCGGACGATGTGGTTGAAACAAACCGACGGGAAAGAAACGATTCTCAACGCCTGCAAGCAAGGAACAGATGAAGTAAAAGCAGACAAAAAGTAAATGGCCCGTACGGGGGTCGAACCCGCGACCTTGGCGTTACGCGTAACCTGAAGCACGTGTGTATTAGCACCACGCTCTAACCAACTGAGCTAACCGGCCAACAAGATTCCATCTTCTCAATGCTTTGATCAGTGTCGATGGCACAACAAAGAGGCAAGCCTGGCCGCAGCTGAGATCAAACCTTAGAATCCTCCCATGATGAGTTGAACAGTTGTTTTATTTAATTGTGGCTTTCTCCACACATTATAGTTTACCACTTTTGGACACTTTTATCCAAATTAGTTTTTTTAACTTTGTTATGCCTTTCTCCAAAAACATACTTTAACTATTGCTTTGTTAATGCATTCTGCTTATGCCTTTTTTGTGTGGACAAAGGCAAGAAGAAAGTTAAAGCATAATACTTGGAGAAAGGCATAACAAAGTTAAAAAACGATTTGGATAAAAATGACCAAAAGTGTTAAACTATATTGTGTGGAGAAAGCCACAACTATTTTGACTCACTGTGGGGGGATTCTAAGTGGATGTCTGCAGTGCACCTGACTCAAATCAATCATATGTACCCTAACAATGGTCAAATCAAATTTGAAATCAAAGGGAAAAGAAAAGATAAAAGCAGAGTATGATTGATTTGAGCTGGGTAGGATAATGTACATTGCAGTTGTGATTATAATTAATTTCAGTTTCAATTGTCAAGTGTTTTTGTGAGTGCGGTGAAGAGCAAGTAAAAAAGTGATGACAGGGCAGTCCTTTGACATTTGTCTAATAAACTCTAAGATTCCGACAGCTCATGATTTCTTCCTTCCTATCTCTATTTACAACATCATTGTCAAAACGCAGAGCTCACAATTTTTCATTTCCTGCTGTTCTATCTTGGCCGGTGTAAAACTTCAACGGTGTTGTCGGTGTGAGAGAGGACCGGGGGGGGGGTTGGCATTAAGAATTATAGAGCATGAGGAGTTAGGTCGCTCATAGAACTCTCTGTGGAGGTAGGTTAGACAGAACTTGCACATGCTCCTTCCTGTTTTCGTTTGACACTGTGGGCATCTACTTAGAATCCCCCAATGGTGAGAATGGTGAGTTTTATTTAATTGTGGCTTTCTCCACACATTACTTTTGGTCACTTTTATCCGAAAAGTTAAAAACAAATTTGGATAAAAGTGTTCAAAAGTGTTAAACTATAATGTGTAGAGAAAGCCACACTCAAATAAAACAACTAATCAACTCACCATGGGCGGATTCTAAGTGGATGCCCGCAGTGTGATAACCTCTCTCATTGAAAATCAAAAAGACCCAGTCAGTCATTGGATCTGGATGCGAGACAAGAATGTTGGATTCACATGTACAGATTTCTGTAGCCTCAGACCATTGTTGCTTGAAGTGCTTGAAGGCAGGATAAAGAGAGAGAGGAGTCCTCGTCATTGTCATCTAAGCTGTTTCAGTCCACGCCCATGCCATGCAGGAAGGGCACCGCACGACTGATGTACGCAATCACCGCCCCTGCCCCAGTCCACCTTGGGGACGCTGACAGCATCAATACCGTTGTTGTTCCGTCGGGCGCAGCAGCACCCAGCACTGTCGCCGAGGGCCACTTGACGTGTGTAGTTTGCTGACATCGAGGTTGACGACACCACCTTGACTTCATACAGTCATGGCACCCATGGCCTAAGGAGGCCTGAGTTGAGGAAGGAAGAAGACACGTCGAGCATCACCAATGTTCCACTGCAGGCATCCACTTAGAATCCCCCCACAGTGAGTCAAATAGTTGTTTTATTTAATTGTGGCTTTCTCCACACAATATAGTAACATTTTTGGACACTTCTATTTGAATCATTTTTTAACTTTGTTATGCCTTTCTTTTTGCCTTTGTATTTGATTCAAATAGAAGTGTCCAAAAATGTTACTATATTGTGTGGAGAAAGCCACAATTAAATAAAACAACTATTTGACTCACTGTGGGGGGATTCTAAGTGGATGCCTGCAGTGCACCTGGTTCAAATCAATCATATGTGCCCTAAGCAACTCCATCGCCTTCTTTGAAGAGAGCAGTCAAGCAGTTGACGTGTTGACTGTTGACTGGTCAAAACTGAAATATTAGCTGTAAAATACATATCAGCATAACACCATATAACAACCATAAACAGTTTGAAAGACATCGTAGCAAAGTGGTTAATGCGACAGATTCGAATATTAGTAAGCTATGCTTAGTAAGCATCTGTTCCTCTCTGAGGGCGCAGGTTCAAATCCTGCCGGTGTCGTATTTTCCTTCCTAGACGATTTTTATGCTTTGCTTTCAGCACGTTCTTCCTTGTAAGGGGGCATTTAGTACTTTGTAAGCATGCAAATGCGATACTGACTACCTTTTCAGGCATACTAAGGTTATAAAACTGTAATAATATTTCCGTATATGGACTATCCAGAGGTTCAAGGCACAGGTTCAAATCCTAACGTCTTTTTTTTTTACGTTCTCTCGAATTTACCATTGTCATTCGCACTATCAATCGCATATACAATTGCATTTCGCATGTATCAGGAGAGGACTATGAAAAGGTCGCTATACGGAAGAAGAGCTAGGAGTAGAGGGGGCAGCGCAACAGTGACAATTTCACAAGAGAGACAAATAAAGAGATCAAATGAGAAGGGAAAAGCAAAAGATAAAAGCGGGTTGAAAAGGGATAAACACGAAAACAAAAATGAAGGGGTGCGGATAGCAGGAGAAAAGAAGAAAGAAAGGAAGGTCATACATTCTTTACCACATATGGTTGGTGGACGTGGGTCATTTTCCAGCCCACATATTTCAAGCAGCCTCTGACATAGTCACGTCGCCCAGGGCGCTTTCCCCAATGGTCATGTCGCCTACACCGGGCACGTCCTCTTCCACCTTTTCGCCTTCTGCCTCCGCCTCCGCCTCGCCATCGGCATCGTTCTTCCCGGCGTCCGTCGCCGCGGAGAGGGGTATCGCGTCGTTAAGGACCGATTTTTCGACGTCCGTTGCCTTGGGCTCCGCAGACCCGTTCACTTTGTTGATCGTCGTGTGCCACTTGTTCACAAGCGCCTGCGCACGGTCCTTGAATTTGAATTCGTCGTCGCGCGGCACTTTGGGAGGCTCCAAAGCGGCAATGTGACGCATAACCTTGCCAATCTTCGAGTGCTATACAACAAACGGTCAGCACTCGGATCGCGCGATCGTGGGGAGTCAGAAAAGAAACAGAAGACAGTTATCGAGATACTTGAAAAAGGAATATAGACGATTCTCAGTTGTCCGAAACACGAACCTGGAGATATTTGATGGTCATGTCGAACTCTTCGACTTGATTGAAAAGAACATCAAGAGCTGGCATGTCCTTTAGCCAGAAAATCAGCATCACAGGTTGTTAGAGACATAGACACGAATACAAACGTCATCTTTGGGTACCCCTTTGCCCAAAAAGGCCCGCTGAAGCTTGTGTCTCATATCTTTGACCTTAATGGCCTCTGGATCGTTTTCCATCTCGGCTGATAAGACAATCGAGAGTAAGTTTGGTGATATCGGAAGGGTTTTCAGAAAAAACTCGAAAAAACCGACTCACGATCACCATCATCGTCTTTGTCACGCTTGTTTTTCTTCGCTGGCGGAGGCGACACCTTCTTGCTGGAGCCAGCGTCGACCGCACGTTCGCCTTCGTCTTCAGATTCGACCAGAGCCTTCGACTTTGCCCCATTTTTCCTCGGTTTGGCTGGTTTGTCCGCCTTTTCCGCTGCCGCCTTTTTCTTCTTGGTTGTCGGCTCGCTTGGCTCCTTCTCCTTTTTCGGCTTCTTGGGCTTCGCAGCAGCCTCAGACTCGCGCTTTCTCTTCTTCGCCTTCGCAGGTTTCTCTTCTTCTTCATCTACCTCCTCCTCGCCGTCGAGCTCGTCAACTTCCTCGGCCTCTTCCGCCTCCTCAGCGTCCGCACGCTTCTTCTCCATTTCGTTTTCCCAGCCCTCGGGGTTGAGCGCGATGCGGTAGCCTTTAAGGAGATCGAAATTCTTCTTGTGCGGTTCAGCGATGTACGCCTCGATCTCGTGCTTCTTCAGCTTCGAGAGGTCCTTTGGAAGGGCCCACGCACTACGTGTCACGAAGAAAAACGATGCATACGATGGGGACGATGAAAGAGATTAGCTACATCTCACAACGCAAAAAGAAAAGACGGTGACGCACTAGTCGCCAGCAGGGAAGAAGCGAATGCAGTAGAAAATTTGTTTTTTCATAGAAGGGCGCTCCCTGGCGACCTCCCTAGGGATGCTGTCAGGGTCGACAACCTAGATAGACGTGAAAAAGGTTGTCAGTGGGTGGGTTCAAATTCAATGCAACTATTCGCTCTGATGCAGGCGATGCGACTCACTTGAGCAGGCCATGCTGGGAAGCCCCGAATCTTCCCAAGTACGACGTCCTTAACGCTGTAGGCTATCTCGTCTTTGGGATTTGCGGCGCCTTTCTTGCTCATAGTTGTCAACAACGGGAGGGAAAACTACGATAACTGCGGGGAAGCGGAGGCGCTGAGCGCTGAGCGTGTACTTCGGCGTATGGCGCGGAGGACAACCAACAAAGAGAGTTTGAGCTGAACAAGTATTCGGCATTTACCCGGCCCGCGTACAAACACTTCCATATCAGAATTCTATATTTGGCCAAACAAACAAAAACGGCACATGGAATCATGGATAATTAGATTTTTTTGGAAACCAAAATAAACATGACGTAGCGCAAGATACAGAACGAAATTAAAAATTGCAGAGGTGATAACACAGAGAAAGAGGGTGTACCATTGAGAGTAGCAAGGAGTGTGAATGAGATGCGGGTAAAAGGTCGTACGATTTTTTATGTGAGCCTTTCGCTTAGTCAAAGTAGCTGAGAGTGTTGAGATGACGATGAATTTTCAGAAATGGAGACCTGATGAGAGTGCCGCTGATGGTTTCGGAAGCAGTGCCGGGAAGACGTCCCAGATGCGTGAGACAGGAAGCAAGACATGAAGATCAACCGGCTGAGAAGTCGCAAAATATTTTATTGAAAGGAGGCCCTCTGCCGTTAATTTTGTAAAAGTCTGTCCAGAGAGGGGTGAAGGAGGAGTTGAATAAGGGGTTGATCATCAATGCGCACCGGAACTCTTACAGTAAACGATATAATAACATTGATTGCCATCATTTGTCCAAAGTTCGAGCTCTTGATCTGCAAAGCAAGAGGTTGAAGCGTCGCACAAAATAATCTGGAGTCAAAGACCTCGTGAGTACACGCGCTCGCTGTCCATTAGTATCCGAGCCGTTTCCTAAGGAAGCATAAAAAAAAGTCAGCTAGTATAGAGTAATAAGTTCCGAGGTAGCACAGCTGACATACATTAACTCATCTCCGAACGGCCGTCTGCCATACCTCCCACAAGGGCATCCTTAGCGTCATACTAGTGACATCGATGCCACGGTCAATCGTCTCTGGTATCCGTGTTTGAACGCGAGCACTTTTGGAGTCATCGCTGACGGCTTTCAAGACGAATTTATGGGACAATAGATAGATATGCAGAGTCCGTTAAGTTAGGACGTGTTCTGGCTCCTGGCTGGCAATGGATCTAGTGCCCATTTCACCGTCAAGGCATTCAAATAGCATTTCTTTTGACGCAATAGTTAAGACACAGAATAAGAAACACGGCCGGCCAGCATAGATGTGGTTGGAAGCCAAGTGGCAAGGAAAAGAAACCGAAGTCTAATGAAACAGCACTGTCGGAGTTCCAATAACGCAAACTCTATGTTCTTGCTTATTTTTTTAAAATAAAACTCGACACATTTTTTCCCTACTGCATATTGCATGGTATGTACAGAATGACAGTTTTACATTGTCAGCGATTTATTCCTTCGCGAATAGATACCTATGTGTGACTCTTCCGAACGCAAAGTGGCGGATTGATGTCACCTCCTCCCGAGCCCAGTTCTGTTGTAGCTTGCAGGGGAAGATATTGTTCGCGCCGTCGAAACGATCTCATATAAAAATAAAAAAAAGAGAAAGTGGGGGGACCGAGGCCTCCATAAATCATCTCGAGTTTCCTTCACGAGCTATTATGTCATACGTGTGTGGCGTTCAAGCCAACGAACTGTAGCCTCCTGGCAAAATGGTCGTCTCAGAAAACACACTCACTTTAGAAACATGATGCATCACTTTCAAGGTTGACTTATTTTCTATGAATTTTAAAGTTTGCTATGCTACTCTTCAGATTCAAGAGCTCGGCAATGTGCGACCATTCGTACGATCTACGCGCTCCGCGCGCGTCTCATTCTAAATACGTACCTCCTTCTCCTTTTCTGCACTGTCGCAATGATTATTCGGGCATTCGTAGCAGCAGTCGCGCTCTGTGCGGCACGTGTTTCTGCGACCGTCACTGTCTATGGCGCGACGACCTCCGGCGCAGCGGATGCTACCCCTACCCTATGTGTCGGTGCAATTCCCTGCGACGGGAACGTTCTCCAAGCTGTTGGCGCGCAGCAGGGGAGTAACCCGTCAATTCCGGTGCAATTGCTCACTGGTGGGATGAATGGCCTTTCCATAGGGATCAATGGGTATTTTGCTGGCTTTTCGCTCGAATTGTCCGTCGTTGACAAACTCCGTACGTCTACAATACCTTGCATGGCCTTTGGACGTGTCTTGAGCTGAAGTATTCTTTCTAGTGGGGGAAGATGGGAATCGTCTTAACCCAATATTCCTCAACTTAATGTCTACCATCACGGCCAGGAGTGGAAAGCTTTACCTTCGAGTCGGTGGAAATACACAGGACAAGTCTACGATCCTTGCGAACGGACTTCCGGATGGCAAGACGATTGAAAAGCAAGCAGACGATGCCAGTACGGTATGTCTAACATTCCATCTTTTTCTCTCTCTGTGATTCATCATTTATCGCTTTTGATCCAGACATTTACGCCCAATCTGCTTGTCTCTCCGAACCTGCTCTATGCCATGAGCAACATTTCGCATATGCTTCCTATCAAGTGGTTCCTCGGCGTCCCTTTCAATGACACGACGAATCCCCGTTTGCTCATGGGTGAACTCGGAGAAAAGATTCTTGGCGACAACCTGCTCGGTCTGCAGCTCGGAAACGAACCGGATTTGTATCACAACAATGCAATCCGGGATCCTAACTACTCTGTCACGCAGTACAATTCAGAGTTCGGCGAAGTTCTCCAGGACTACATGGGCGACTCGTCCATTTCGAATAACTCGCTATTTATTGCGCCAAGCGTGTGCTGTGGTGCTGGAAATGGAGGT